TATATATAAGCACAAAGGGACTTCGTGTGAAATTAAAAATAATACTCAATATAATACTAATGGTTTTATAATTCATATTCAAGATTATAGATTTGATAAAAAATACTATAACTAGTAGAGTATATGTAAAAGGGTGTGAGCGTGATGACCCCACAATTGATTTTTATGAGATGCTAGATTAAGTGATATATTAAGGAACTATTTGAGAAAGCTTTATTGTTGTTATACTTTTTAGATGGTAATTATAATTTTATTTTACTATTATTTTCTAGAATTTTTTTTATTATTTTTCATAAATTTATATGATAGAAAGTAGCTTTTATTAAGGTGAGTATATAAGTTACTTTTCCTACAATCAATTTTATAAAACATCACAATTGTCACAAATATGCCATATGATTATGTTGGATGGAGTATATTTCTAGTAAAATGTGACTATTATGATACTAATCTTAATCCAAGATCAAGTATTTTTAAGATCATCTTGACATAAAATTGTATAATTTGGACATCCCATGAATTTTTTTCATGATTTTTCTTAAATTTTCACCACTAAAATTATGAAATGTTTTTGTTGCGTCCTGGAGTATTCACGACGGTAGAGAAATATATTGTTTAATGTCTTAGCATTGTACGAAGATCCAGCACACAAGCAGATAAGAGAGAGGGTGTAGCGTTTATAGAGACACCAGAGTTTTTACGTGGAAATCCTTGAAAAGGGGGAAAAACTACGGGGCCTGGCCCAATTTTGAATGAATCCATAGTATTTGCAGTCAATTACAAATAAGGCCCTTCCTTAGGAGAAAGCCTTGGCTTGATGTCATAAATGTACATCGTATAGAGCACATTACATGGTCAGAGTTACGATAATCAACATAGACATATTTGTTTAGTCGACAGGGCCATAATCGATAGGATAAAGGTTGAAAAGACTGTAGAAGGTGACAAAGGTCAGAAAGATCATTGTTTGATGATGGAGGTCGAAAGGACCATAGTAGGCAACGAAGGTCAGAAGGATCATAGTCAGCAAGAGACAAGGGTCTGAAAGAGCAAAGTTGGAAGGAGACCGGGGTCAGAAAGATTATTGTAGTAGAGTGATACTTCGGTAGAACTCCAGGCATCAAGTGGTGGTCTGGTAGAAGTTCAGACCTCAGATGGTGGTTCAGCAAAAATCCAGGCCTTAGATGGTGGTCCTGTAGTCACATGGTGGTCCAGGAGAAGTTCGGGCATTAGGTGGTACTGGTCCGGTAGAAGTCTGAGCCTCAGGTGGTGGTCCGACAAACGTTTCGGCTTTAGGTGGTGGTCCGGCAGAAGTACGGGTGTTAGGTGGTAGTCCGGGAGAAGTTCGGGCATCAAGTGGTGGTCCGGCAGAAGTCTGGGGGTCATGTGGTGCTCTTGGAGAAGTCTATGCATCAGGTGGTGGTCTGGCATAACCTAAGGCCTCAAATGGTGGTTCGACGGATCTCAGGGCCTCAAGTGGTGGTCCGATAGAGATCAGGGCCTCAAGTGATGGTTAGGCAGAGGTGAGGGCCTCAAGTGGTGGTCCGGCAAAGGTGAGGGCCTCAAGTGGTGGTCCGGCGGAGCTCAGGGCCTCAAGTGGTGGTCCGGCAAAGCCCAAGACCTTAAGTGGTGGTCCGATGGAGGTGAAGGCCTGAAGTGGTGGTCCGGCGGAGCAACGATGTAAGGCGGTGGTCCGGTGGAAGTCAGGCGGTGGTCGAGGAGGAGCGAGGAGGCAAGAGTGATCTCCGATCTCTCTCTTGCTCTCTTGCTTGGAGCATTCCCTTTCAAGAGGGAGAAGGGGTCTATTTATAAATTCCTAGAGTGTCATGACCCGTAAATAGGTGAGAGATCAAGGGCATATGGGGAGTGGCTTGGATAGACGGCCGATGTTGAATTCCTTGATTATGTACCGTTTGATGGACATTTGAATGTCTTAGTGATGTCAGAGTTCAGTGATCTTAGGCTCGTTGGATTCGTCTCGTCGAGCCGCTCGATTAGATTATAAGCACGTCATGTTTGGAAACCTTTTGGTAATCCAAATTGTAGTTCATACCCTTGATTTGGATCCATTTGGACTAGGATTGAGTCAATTTTGGTGTTGTTGGGTTCGTATTTCCGTGATGTTCAGTCCGACTATAAGTTTGTTGAAATCATAGTTCGGCTGGTCCCAATTTAATTTCGGAAGTTTCCAACTTGATTTTGCATCGAGATAATTAGTGCCCATCAAGATAATTTTTTGATGACGTATCAGTTTTAATAAATACCTCTCTCAAAATGTTGGAATAATCATGATGATATATATTTTAAATATCAGAAAACAAATGGAAATCCTTGAATCATTTTGAGGATATACATTTGGCTTATTGCCAGTGATCCACATATTACATTCGGGGTTTTATGGGGCGCCTCACATGTAAAACACCAACCAATAAAACTATTTTATTTTTGTACAAAGCATTGCGTAATCGTAAGAATATAGGTCAAAAGAATATTAATTGTTTTTAATTGAACGAGCTCTTCTGGGTGGGATCCACTGCGGGACCAAACTGCTCAATGGTACTGTGATTTAATTTGTCCCTAGAAAAAAATAGTTTTTCTCTTTTTTAGAGCTAAGAGAATATATCTGATTCGGAAAAAAAAAAAAACAAAGAATATTTCTACTGCTATTTGCTCTTCACATTCCGACAAACAAAAGCTGACGCCAAATGGAGCCCACCTGCAACTTTAACAGGTGCCCATCGGTGCCCAGACGGGTAAAATAGGTCATCTCAGCACTCAATAAGATAACCACGTGTCAATTTGTGACTGGCCAATAAAACGTCGGCGCGGACCCACTTGGTGCAGAGCCAAGCCACAGAAGACTGATTTAGTAATTGCCATGCTACGTCTTACGTGTTCATAAAATCCCTCAATAATTTTTCTACGGTTGAAGTATGTGGACATTATTTCGATCGAGACCGTCCATTTACAAAAGATCCGTCCATTAATAAATTCTGGCCCCACATCCTGCTGTCTAGTCGTCAATGCCAATCAACGGAAAGTAACGGCTCACCGGCCTTTTTTTCAGTACTTTTAAGCTAAGATAGCCTTAATTGGCCAAAATGTCAAAAAAAAAAACAAAAAACAAAAAAAAAAAACAAAGATAAATTTTAATTAATAGTTAAAATTTCCAACCAACATATCAAGTTTATGAAGATTTTATTTAGTTATTTCACTCTTTTTTTTGTAAAAGATAATTTTAAAAATAATGATTAAAGGAATGAAATTTTATAAACAGAAAAAAAAAAAAAGAATGTTGAAACAAACGAGGGCTAAGCATCAGCAAAAGGCTATTAGTCGGTTGAGTAAATTTACAACAAATGGCTCTTAACTTATTATTTTTCATGATAATAATGAGGTGTTATTTCGTGCATTAAGAACTTTAAAGTTAATAAAAATAATATTTAATCCAATTAATTATAAGGATGAATCTTTCCAAGAAAAAAACTTATAAGGATGAAAATCTATTAAACTTTATTGAACAATGCGATTTATCATTCAATGTACAGCTTAATTATATTGTACATGCAAAAAAATTTCTCTATTTATGTGCTTATTGCAGCACTCCATCTGCTAATACCTATAAGAATTTTAAAAATTATTATATATTTTTAAAATAATAGGACAAGCATTTTTTAACCACTTTAATATTATGGTTTAAATCCTATTCTATAATAAAAAAAACACCATTAATAATTATTTCATATGTTAAAAGATAAGATTATGGTCACGTCTAACAAATATTTCTGAACATAATTAATATTTATTATACTATTTAAAATAAATGCCTCCGTAATTCAAAACCCCAAAAAAATTCTAATATTGCAAACCGGATAATATAAAAATTCCACTAATTAAATATTACTTTTTATTAATTTGTAGACGTAGGCCAAATCAAACCCTTCTAAATACTTGGAAAAAGTGCAATCTATGCATAGAAGTTAAGAAATAGGACTAAATAATGTAAGAAAATAAACCAAATATAATAAACATGTAAAAGGAAAGTAATTCCAGCACTTGGGAATTTAGATTAGCTGGAAATATGGAATCTCTGATCCAGTGTCCCTACACTTGTTTTGTTCATTCTATCATCTCCCCTTTATAAAAGGCTTCTTCCATTAACCTTAGCATTTCAATTGTACCTCTTGATCGAGAAAATATATATGAGATATATAAAATCTCTGGCCTGAATCAGTACTATCCATGGAGAGCTTCAGGAAGCTATTTCTTCCTCTTCTTGTTCAGTTCATCGCCGTGGCCGTCAGTGGAGTGTGGGCGAAGCCAGTAACCTTCACCGAAGGCTTTACGATCACTTGGGCGGATTCTCATGTCAAGCAGCTGCAAGGAGGCTCTTCCATTCAACTCATTCTCGACCAGTCCTCCGGTAAGATCGAAGTCATAATTAAACAACAATAATGGTAAACAAGTATTCATAAATGATTACAACATATAAAATTTATATTTTTTTTAAAAAAAATTCCTTTTAGTGTTACAATAAAGTAATATAAAATACGTACACAGATGCTAGCTGCATGGAGATAGATAACTGATTTTATATATGCAGGTTCTGGTTTTGCATCGAAGAACAAGTATTTGTTCGGGCGTGTGAGCATGAAGATAAAGCTTGTCTCCGGGGACTCCGCTGGCACCGTCACCGCCTTCTATGTTCGATCGGATAAAAATATATTACAGAATATATAGAAATTAATTGGAAGAGTAGTAATTAAATAAATATATTTATTAATTGGGCGAATATTGCAGATGAACTCGGATACTGCTAATGTGAGGGACGAGCTGGACTTCGAATTCTTAGGGAACAGAAGCGGTCAGCCTTATACGGTCCAGACGAATGTGTACGCCAAAGGGAAAGGAGACAGAGAGCAAAGGGTTAATCTCTGGTTCGATCCAGCTGCTGATTATCACACCTATTCTATCCTCTGGAATCACTGTCATGTCATGTAAGCTTATTTCAAGCTTTCTCTTACACATTAAAAATATATGGAATTAAAAACGAGAGAATATATAATTACATATGTTGTTTTCCTTTCCTTTCTATATTTTTAAATCTCAAAAATTAAATTAGTAGAGAGCATAAGGTAAAAATAAAACCAATAAAATAGTAATAAGTCATGATGAAATTAGTAATAAATTCTAAAATCACATGAATATTAGTTCATTGATATATTCGATTTTTATATATATATTCATAAATTCTTAAGAAATGAAACATAAACTGATTAAAAAAAAACATAAAAATATATAATATATCTAAAACTTCTATATATAATATCAAGGTAAGTCTTCAATTGCACGGCTATAATATAAAGTGATTGCTAGAATTATTTCTTTGCATGTTGTTCTAATAATTTTAAATTAAAGGATGTTTTAATTCAATTTTAATTATAATTTATCTTGATTTTTTTTTTCATATATATCTAATTATTCTCATATCACGGGAGTATATATATAGCAATACTTAGAAAAGGCCAAATCAAATGATGTGTGGTCCGCACTAGCTGAACTAGGTCAGTGGTGGGTTCATAATTTTGAAGGCAGGCTGAGAGAACAATAGTATGGCCCTGTTTCTCATTAGTTTAAAGGTGCTGAATGAATGTAAAATTTAATAATTTTATATACTATTTTATATTATTTTAATTATGTTACTATAAAAAGTATTGATATATTTTAGGGGTCGTTCGTCTTGTTTGTAGGACAAGTAAGATAGCGATTTTTCCTTGTAAAAGATAATGCTAATTATATCATGAATCATGCACCATACAATATAGTTAAGCTTGCTTTTGGGGTCCCTCCTATCATGGAGCACCAATAGCATGTGTTTGGGCAAGTAGGATAAGGCTGGCCCTCTCTATCCAATTTACCTTGAATGAGGGCTTATGATGTGGAACATATTAGTTAAAGCATTCCTTAGGATTAAGTTATTTAAGTTTGTTACTAGTTTCTAGAATGTTCTTAAAAATGCTCCTTAGGACTAGCTTATTAATAGTTTCGATCTTGAATATTCCTATTTGCCAATAAATAGGCAAAGTATTGTAGTAAGAATCAACTGATGTACGGGAGAAAATCATTGAATCTTTGGAATAAGAGAATGCTTGAAGGATTTCCAAGAACAAGAGAAGAAACCAAACATTAAGCTTCAATTCAAAGAATATTCATCAATACATTTTTCCTACTACAATAACTATATTTATAAGCTAGGGAGAACATTAATTCTAGAAGTCATATAACAAATATGTAACAAACTTTGATATACTATTCCTAAAGAATGCTTTAACTAATATGTTCCATGCACATCAGCTTAATTATGTGGTTGAAGCCCATGTCATATATATATTATGATGATCAATTTTTTATAAAAATATTTTGAGGATATCCTAAGCTATATACTTATACATTACGCTGAATATATAAAAAGTTAATATTTAACATAACATATGAGTGACAGGTGATAGAACTTGAAATTGAAATCAAACGCATTTAGAAGCTGCAAGTCGTAACATCATATCATTATCTTTATATATGCTGCAGTACTGCTAGCTAATCAAATTCACGAGTCTAGCTAACGATGGCAGGCCAGGACAAAATAATTCGGTTGTTCGCACATTGCTGGGTTCTAATTCACAAAAGCCAAATTTCATTGACCCCTCCTTCAATCAACCATACAAATAGATCAACCTCGATCGCTTTCAACTACTTAATTAATTTGTTGTTCGCAATTGCGTGAAGATATTTTAAACAAACACATGGCAGTGAAAGAGATTATATTGATCAATTTATACAAAATGAATTCATGCAGATTTTTCGTGGACGAGGTGCCGATCAGGGTCTTCAAGAACAACGAAAGGCGAGGCGTTGCCTTCCCCACGTTGCAGCCCATGGGAGTTTACTCGACTCTATGGGAAGCCGACGACTGGGCCACGAGAGGCGGCTTGGAGAAGATAGACTGGAGCAAGGCGCCCTTCTACGCCTACTATAAGGAATTCGATATCGAAGGGTGCGTCGCAGGGGCGGCGCCAGCCTCCGCCGCCGCCTGTGCGTCGAACGCCGGAAACTGGTGGGAGGGACCGGCGTACTGCCAGCTCAGCGCTGGGCAGGCCAGGCTGTACAGGTGGGTTCGACTCAACCATCTTATCTATGACTACTGCACCGACAAATCACGATATGCGGTTCTCCCCGCGGAGTGCATGGCTGGAATATGAGATCTTTATTTGCAATTGCTGGACGGAATAATATCTATATATATCTTCTTCTAATTATTCATCTGTTAATGATCATCAATGGCGGCTGCGGCTGGAAATTATTTGGTCCTCTGTTTTGTAATAGATATATGTATGTATGTAGAGCAGCGTGGTGCATTTGTTTCTGGTCTCTGTAATAATGCGTACGCAATTATTTTATGAGACATTTGTAGTCAACTATATATGTGCACGTTTTACCTTTCATGTGAATTCCCGTATATTCAGCTCTCTTTTGTGATACAACGTCTGACTTTAGGAAAATGGCATTTACCTCGTAATTTTTTAATTGTCGGTGTAGGGATTTTTTTTTTTATTTTTTAAAATAATTTTCATTAAAATTTATTTTTTTAATTAAAAAATTATTTTACAAAATAGAAATAAAATTATCTCAAATAGAGTCAGGAAGAAATGGAGGCCGGAAGGACACTCTCCCTCCCACCAAAAAATAATTTTTTTGTTATTTATATTATTATAATAATAATAGTATTATTATTTATTTATTACTAAAATAAAAATGTAATTAAATTACGATTTTTATCCTTTTAATTGTCTTTTTATAGTAATAACTTTTGTATAATAACAAAAAAATTATATTACCATATTATAATCAGAATTTTATTATGATATATTGACAATTTTAGAATTTGGTTTAAACTATATATATATATATATATATAAACTAATCATTGGGCCTACGCGTTAATTTAAAAATGAATTACAAGTCTTTAACCAGGGATCAAAAGTTTTCTACTTCTCGAATGAGCTACAATAATAAAGAGTATAATAAAAAACATTTAAGCTTAAGATTGATCCCCACAAATTACAATCCAAGAAATCTAATAAAAAAATCTAAAAGAGAGACCAAGAGCTATCACTCAAAAATTAAGAGATATGGAAAACACTCATGAATAGAAATATACCCCTTCGACCATTGTCGCCCTCCAATAACAACACCTCTAACCTTCGTCGCTTGACTATTATGATCCCTCCGACCATCGTCATTCACTGACTATGATTCCTTCGATTACCGTCACAAGCCAATGTGGTCCCTTCGACCACTGTCATCTTCCAACTACGGTCTCTTCGACCTCCATTGCCTGTCGACTTCAATCCTTTTAACCACCATCGCTCACTAACCATGGTCCATCTGACCACCGTTGCCCATAGACTACTATCCTTCAAACCACTGTTGCATGCTAAGTATGGTCTCTTTAACCACTGTGACCACATACTACAATCCCTCCAGCCTCTATTGCCAAATAACGATCCCCTCCATCTCAGTTACGCGACTACGGCTCCTCTGACCTCCGTTGATGGACTACAGTCCAACCAACCAAATAATCATGTCAATATTCTTTTAAGAAATAACCCTTATTATTTCATGCCCTAAAATTTGATTTAGAAAAATTCTTTCATTTATCTTTTATTAGACAACAACAAGAGCTATCTAATTTAATTTATAATTAGTAATAAGATCATATATCAACATAATCAAATTTTATTGATTAAAACATTCATATGCATCTATATTCATTGACCCAAAATCATATATATACTATACCCATGAATCATAAAATATTATTCAATTCCTAAGTATAAAATTAAGAATAGTTAAAATAAAAAGGAATTGAACATGCATGAGGAATCCTGATTTGCTTCACACTCCCAAACCTCTTCTCTGTCTTAAAATCATTTAAATCATATATAATGAGCTAAACAATCCAACATGTCATAAAAAATCTATAACTGAATTTAAAAAAAAAAAGTGTAGAATTAATATGTATGTTGTTAATCAATTCATTATATTAGCAATCATATAATTAGAAATAAATATAGAAATAATGAAGTTCACACTTAATAGCAATAAGATCAGTAAAATAATAAAATAGTGTTGTACTAGGAGCAGTAAAGTAATCAGTAATCCCATAAATCATTATAGGCATCAATTCAATAAAATAGTGACCAGCCATATCATAGTAGCACTCTACAATCATTCAAGAAATTATATTAATTTGTAGAATCAAGGTCTCAATAAAATTGATAAAATCACATCAATGCAATAAAATCATATCGAATGAGGAGATGAGGAGTAAACACCACAATGATGAAACAAGAAAGAAAGTAAAAAAAGCAACCGAAAAATAAAGTGCACCAAGATTTAAGGAGAAAAAAATCTAAAATAAGGAAAAAAACCACAGAGCCACACCACACCATGAAATACACTATAAAAATTGTGAGAATTAAGTACAGATCTTTCTTCTTTCTCATTCTCCTTGCTTCTATTTTCACATGCACCATTAATCTCAAAGTCTACCACTCAAAATACAAGAGAAAGCCAAGTAAAATAATCCCAAGGGATGCAACCCTTCAGAAAAATAAGAAAGAAAATAGTCTAGCCCATCTTGTAGTGTTGCGGTAACAATTTGGGACACCATGATGCTCAAGCCTCTATCTTGTATCACTGTATCGCCATATCTATGTCGTTGTAGTTCTCTACTCTTTGTCATTCAACGTTATGGCACTAAGGAACACATCACTGTGGCACTCAGGTATGCAGCGCCAGAGCGTTCTACAGAGAAAAAATTATAGTGCAAAGCACCTAAACGCAAGCAGGGGGTAAACCCCTATACCCTCAACGAACACGACAAGCTTTTAGGACCGAGATAAAAGAATAATTAGATTGATCAACACAATCAGATTCTACACATAATAATATACAAAAGTATATACCGTATTTAAAGTGCAAATAGCGGCCTAGTGCTGTGGCGCTAGTTCATTTTTCAAAACCTGAGACTATAGCGCTAAAATATCACTATTTAACACCTTTATATTATTGAAGTGTTGTGGATCTTAGACACCCAACACCTAGGCACTCAAGCAATAAAATTTCAAAAGTACAGAGAAAAAAATTATAGTGCAAAGCACATGAATGCAAGCAGGGGGTAAACCCCTATACCCTCAACGAACACGACAAGCTTTTAGGATCGAGATAAAAGAATAATTAGATTATTTAGATTGATCAACACAATCAGATTCTACACATAATAATATACAAAAGTATATACCGTATTTAAAGTGCAAATAGCGGCCTAGTGCTGTGGCGCTAGTTCATTTTTCAAAACCTGAGACTATAGCGCTAAAATATCACTATTTAACACCTTTATATTATTGAAGTGCAGTGGATCTTAGACACCCAACACCTAGGCACTCAAGTAGTAAAATTTCAAAAGATTTACCAAATAGCACTTAAACCCCCGTGACTCATTTCACAGCACTTGCATACCATTTTCATACAAAAAATACTTACAAATACATGCAAATAGATTCAAAATGCAAAATTTCAAATATTTCTCTCTTTAAAATTACTTACTCTTTCGGGTTATTACACATATCATAAGATTCTTCCAACTCCTACCATGTAATGTGCTCTATATTTTTTATATTTGCTAAATGGAGCAATGACCTTTCCCCAAGAAAAGGTATCATTTGTAATCAACTATAAACACTATTATAATCAAGAACCATAATTTTTCCCTTTTTTAGTGTTTACCACGTAAAAATCTTACTGCCTCTTTTGACTCTTACACCCCTCCCGCTTATCTGTGTGTATGATGGATCTTCATACAAAGCTAATACGCTAAATCCGAGCTCTCTAGCTACCGCAGCAAATATTCCGGCATGCAAAAATTCTAAATTTTATTAGTCGTATTATACATAAATTTATAATTATCTCAGTTCATTTTACATAGTTATGTGTTAGTTTTATTTTAAAAAATAACGATATATACTTAATTTATTTTTATATCATTATTAATGATGCAAATTTCAAATTTTTCTAACATGATATTTATGAATCATGTTATGAATTTATCTGACATACAAAAAAATTTGCACTAAATGTACCTTGCGATCAAGGAGCAATATATATTTGTATTACAGTGAGTTCTATTTTTCACGAGGCACAACTAAAATACATTAGAGAAATCAATGCCAGATTGCTGATTTTACTAATGATTTTCAGAACTTTAACAAGAGTCACAAATCTCTTGCTAAATTTTTGTTATCAATAGCAATAATTTTCTCCTTTAATATTATAGACTTGGTTAAGAAAAGTGTATAAATTATTGTTAAACTAATTTTGTTAATAAGAGTAACAAGATTAATGTTGTTAAAGGAAAGTTTTTAACAACTTACCTTTCTTGTAATTTAAATTAATTACAATAGAGATTTTAACAAATTAAGATACAATATAATTATTTACTCCTCCTGAATTTTGCTATATATTAGTAAACAATTGTAAGCTGAATAAGAATTAATATTAAACACTCCATTCATTAAGAATTTTGTTTCCTGTAATATAATATCTCTTAGTCTTGCAAGCATCTTGTCTCAATCTGCTTTACCATGCAAGATAGGAACGAATGAGACAGAAATATCATTACATGGTAACCTCACCGCGAGTTTTCCTTCCTTTCTTTTCCCTTTGTTTTTGGTACCAGGCCAGCAGCTGCTTAATTAATCACAAGAAATAATACTTATCAAACAGGAACAAAAAAAAAAAAAAGGAAAACTATTAAGCAAGATGGAGTCTGGTTGGTGCAGTGGTCCAATTCAAGAGGACACTGACGCTGAAGAGTAATGTCAGGTCTTCATCAGAGATCTGTATGGATAATGACACTTTGGACTTGGGGCTTGCTACGGGCTACTTAGCCAGATCTGATACCTTGCATCCAACGAAACTGTACACTTATATATATCATCAAACGCCAACTACCAACACCACATTTAATATCTGTTTATTTTTTTTCTCATTTTTATAAGTACAGCTGCTTTAATTTATAAATTATCTACTTCTTTAGGCAATAAGAGAGAGTTTTTATGAAGTTGTACTACACAATGCTGGTCCAAGAATCTGTAGCATGAGAATGATTGATAGCTGCAGAACTTCATGGCCACATCTGCTTTCGTTCAAGTTTCGAGTACACGGTTGAGGCCGATCAAATTTCGCATGGAACAGCTTGCATGTTCTTAGGGAGAGGAATTGAACGTCACTGCAAAGATGATGAGTTCTTGTCATCAGTTTCTGCTAGATTCACTCAAAGAGGTGATGAGTCTTCTCATATTCATTCCTGCTAATCTGCCTATTCATTTTTTTTTATCCGGCATCATGAGCATGCTTGTGAAATCGCTACCTGCAAATTGGTTTGTTAAAATCCTTCTTCGAATGTTTATGCCGCATAGGGAACTACTCACTACCAATCATTAAGGCTTCGTTTGAGATAAAAAAGCTATTGTAGAATACAACTTTTTAATACAATTTTTCTTAAGGAGCAAAAAAATAATGATTGGATAGAAATTATGATCGAGATCTTAAAAATAAAACAGTAAGAAACGAAGCCTAAGTGATGTGGAATCACTTACCGTATTTTTTGAAAATCAATGTTCGAAATTGGCCTAGAATAAAAGAGCTCCTTCGAGGGACACTACTTACCCATCGACTTTGAGCAAATGTTATATATGAAATTTCAGTAATATCACCAAGGCCATAGGAGCTTTAGTGATTATACAAAGGAGTTCTACCGCCTTAGTGCTCACAACAATCTAAAAGAGGCTAACAAATAGTAGCTCGTGATTACATTGGGGGACTGAATGATGCAATTCAAGACAAGCTGGAGCTGGATTCTGTGTAGTCATTATCACATGCTGTTAACTTTGTGTTGAATGCAAATATGCAACTCAATCATCTATCGCGTTCTTTTATACACCGTCGCCGTTTCAATGATTTTGCTACTTTGGATAATAAGGGCCAAAATTTGAGTGCTGCCAATGTACCTAAACCTAGCACCAAACTCACTTCTCCTATGATATGAATCTCGCAAATGGATGAGAATAAAGGTCCCAACAAGTTGAAGGCTCCAGCAAAGGAGAATCCATAAAGTAGGCCGACCACTTTGAAGTGCTTCATATGTTTCTAGTTGGGTCGTAAGTCTAATGAATGCCAAAACATTCAAAAACTACAATTGATGGAAGGCAAACTAGAATCTAATGTCACTACAACTGAAGTTGAGAATGACGAGGAGTATGGGGAAATATTGGAGATAAGGGAGAGACAATTGTGTGTGTCTTATAGAAGTTGCTGCTTCTCAGTTCAATGTCATCTTCAGGACTAAATGCACAATTAACAATTAAAGGTAAGTGATAGGAAATACTTGATTTCAAGTATCTCCTAGCCAAATCAGAAGTAAAACAAGAAGGAAACTGCTGTTTTCAGCAGAGGACAGCAGCCACACACAAGAAAACAGCGAGAAATTGCGAGAAAACTGAGAGAAAACTCAAGGGAAAGCTTGTATTTCACTAGTAGATGAATAAAAACAACAAGATACAATTGATTCTCAATTCGAGAGGAGGATTGATCTCTCCCAAATCTCTAGACGCCGCTAGAGCCCAAAGAAAACCTAAATCTAAGAGATCTCAAATTTCAGCCAAATTCAAGATACTCAAACCCTAGCCAAATCAACTATTTAATGCATACAAATCAAAAGGAAATCCCAAAACAGTCCCTACATTCAAATTTCCCTCCCAAAACCCTAAAAAACGTTTCCTAAAAAGCTCTATTTGAGCGGACGTGCCGCCCGATCTCCGCAGGAGGCGGAGGTTTCGTTCTTTTTTTGCGAACTGCCGGTCCCGCGTGGACCGGCTGGACCGGTCCAGTGGACCGGTCTAACAGTAAGGTACGTGAACTTACTGGACCGGTCTAACAGTAAGGTACGTGAACTTCTAATTGACAATGGTTGCACTAAGAATATCATTTCTATAGTAGTCTAGGCATTGCAACTTAAGACAACAAGAAATCCAAGTCCATACAAGATGAGCTGGGTCAAGTAGGGACTCGACATCCCTGTGTTTGACATGTGTCGAGTGAGCTACATTATAAATGTGAGATCCCATGTGACTTCATTTATATGGATGTTTACCATTTAATTCTCGGCAAGCCCTGGCAGTTCAACATAGGAGTCTTATATGACAGACGAGCTAATGTCTATTCATTCGATTGGAAGGGGCACAAGTTTTGCTTACTACCCAATTCCCAGAGTAGTAACATCACTAACAGTAATGATAAATTCGCTTTATGCATCATATCCGATAATTCCCTACTACGATCAGGACGTGAAATGAAAATTGTTTTAGCTATTGTGGTGGCTGAGGGACATATTGACACTAATAAAACCAAACATCCAACAGAATTATACCAGCTACTAGCTAAATTCAAAGATATAATACCAGTTGATCTCCCAGATGAACTTCCCCCAATGCATTCCATACAACACCAAATTGATTTCACTTCCGGTGACTCACTGCCTAACCTACCGCACTACAAAATGAGCGCAACTGAAAAGCAACAGCGGTAAAAGATCATTGATGAGTTATTGCATAAATTACTAGTACAACCTAGTCTCAGCCCTTGTGCAGTACCAGCTCTGTTGGTCCCAAAGAAAGACAATTCCTGGAGAATGTACATTGATAGTCGCACTACCAATAAGATTACTACCAAATACAGATTCCACGTGCTAAGGTTGGAAGATATGCTCGACTATTTAGCGGGATCCAAAGTATTTTTGAAACTTAATTTGCACAGTGGATATCATCAAATAAGAATCCGACCTGGTGACGAGTGGAAGACGACCTTTAAGACTCATACTGAGTTATATGAATAGAAGGTAATGTCATTTGGTTGTTGCAATGCACCATCAAAGTTCTTATGATTAATGATTGAAATTTTGAAACCTTTATTATGAAAGTGTTATGTGGTCTACTTCAACTATATTTTAGTACGTACAGCTCCTCCGTTGATGATCATTGGAAACACTTGTATTTTTGAAGTACTACAAAAAAATAAGTTGTATTTGAACAAACCCAAATGCGAGTTCACCATGCTAACATTGCATTTCTTGGGTTTCGTTATCTCGACGAAGAGTGTTAGCGTGGACCCTGGCAGGATTTTCATTATTCACAAGTGGCCACAACTTCATATTATTATCAAAATTCATAGTGTTCATGGATTAGCTAATTTTTATCAAAGATTTATTTGGGGTTTTAGCATGATTATGACCCCAATTACTAATTGCTTGAAACTAAATTCCTTCAAGCGGGGAATCGAGAAACAACACAGCTTTGACACCATCAAAATAGCTCTAATTTCAACTCTGATCCTAGCAGCACTCGACTTTAAAAAGCTTTTCCTCATTGACACAGATGCTTCAGCCGTAGGGATTGGAGTTGTGTTGTCTCAAGACAACAAACCGATTGAATTCTTTGGCAAGAAAATGAGTCCAACAAGGTAGAGATGGTGTGTGTATGAACAAGAATTTTATGCGGTTGTACAGGCCCTTAAATAGTGGGAACATTATCTTCTACATTAAGATTTTGTACTTTGTAGTGATCATTAAGCATTATAGTTTTTTAACACCAAAAAAATATCAACAAGATACATGCTAGATGGACAATTTTTTTGCAAAAGTTTAGTTTTGTATTAAAACATAAATCTGGAAAACATAACAGAGTAGCCAATGCCTTGAGTCGACGTTCAGCCCTACTAGTATAACTTCAGATGGAAATCATTAGAATGGAATTACTTAAAAATCTATACTACACCGATCCAAAATTTGCCATACCTTGGGAGCGATGTTTATTAGGTAAATTTTATAGTGAACACTCACTAAAACATGGCTTTTTGTTTAAGGGGAATTCCTTGTGTATACAAGCTTTCCTCCGTATGGCAACAACTAATTACAGAGATGCATTCTGAAGGGTTAGCGGCTCACTTGGGGAGAGAGAAAATCATATAACATATGCAAGCTTACTTCATATGGCCTCATCTGTGAAAAGAAGACACCAAGTATGTGGAGAGGTGCCCGGTTTGTCAGGTGTATAATGGGAGCAGCTATAACATGAGCTTTTACACACCATTGTCAGTACGATATCCATTTGGGAGGACTTTAGCATTGACTTTATATTGGGATTACCACAAACAAAAAAGGGTGTTGATTCTATTGTGGTGCTAGTTGATAAATTTTCAAAGATATGACTCATTTCATCACCTAAAAGTAGACTTTTGGTGCCCTTAGTATTGCTCGTTTATTCTTTAGAGAAATTATTCAGCTCCACAGTCTGCCTTGAAGCTTCACTTATGATCGTGATGTTAAATTTAATAGTCACTTTTGGAGAGATTTCAAAATAATTACAAATCGAATTTAAACTAAGCTCTGCCTATCATGCACAAATCGACATGCAAACGGAGGTAGTGAACCGCATACTCGGCAATATACTACAAGGCTTAGTGTAGGACAATCCAAAGAAATGTGATGAAATTCTTAGTCAGGCCGAGTTTTCTATAATTCGATGTCCAATCTATCAACATGTATGTTTCCTTTTAATATCATCTACACTAACATAGAAGATATCACGGTGCTCCCAAGGCGCCACAATTCAGCGGCAACTAAGATGACTAGATACTTCTAATCCATGTTGGAAAATGTTTGCAATGCATTACAGGCCTCTAATCAATTGTATAAGCATAAGGTTTATGTGCATTAGTAGTCTAAAGTGTTCCGTCCTGGTGAATTAGTCATGGTTCGATTCAGGAAGGTGAGATTTTTCAGCAGGTACCTATTCGAAGCTGAGTCCGAGGAAGATCAGCCATGTTACTATCAAACTTAGAATAAATAACAATATGTGGTGAACTTACCTTCAGACATTTTTACTTCCTCTACATTCAACGTCACTAATATCTCCACTTATCACCCACTAGATTCTGCAACAAATGAAACTAATTCGTCAAAAATGAATTCCTCTGAAGTGGGGAAGGACTGATGTGAAATCACTTTACCGTATTGAGTACTGCAGGCTTACTTACTCTCCTTGTTACCGTTATTTAGTATTTTCCACTATTTATATAACTAACTATAGTACTACCATACATGTATGCTTTATTTTATGCTCTATTACATTTAGAAGGAGAAAAAATAAATATAGCTGTTGTAATAAAAGAAATAGGACATTCTGAATGTTAGAAAAACACATTATAGTTTGATTATTGTTTTCTTCTGGCTTTGTTCTTTGTTTATCGTGTTACATTGCTTCCACAGCAATAAGTTTATAAAATATGTAAGCTATGCTATGCCTTTTTGGGTTAATTTTTGTAGGCTTAGATTTTAATGTCCTATACATTTTTGTGCTTAATGATTAGACCAATAGAAAAATGGGTGTCAAAAGAGCCGGAAAAAAATAGTTAAATTATATGGTTGATAAAAAAAGATTTAACAAAAAGTAGTATAATGGTGCAAACAATATTTACTTAAATTATACATGTAATAAAACATAAGATCTATTGCATAATTAAACAAGAATGAATATCAGTAATATATATGAGCTATTGCAAAAATAAAGGGAATAATATGCGGCTCAATCAATGAGATTAAGTAAAATAAGCGGAGACAAAAAGCCTTTGTAAGCTGTAAACTAGCATCAACTCTACTAGCTTTAATAGCAAGAGTTGTCCCTTAAGCTGGAAAAAACACCTAGAAATAGAAATACTGAAATACAAAAGGAAATATTTACAATTATTATTATTATTATTATTATTATTATATCATTTGCTTTTAGTGTTTGCAGCTAGCATGAGTAGAGGTAACTTGTATTCCAAGTCTTTTCAATTGCTCTGAGATGAAAAACATTAGTACAACTTTGAAAAAGTAGTATTATTATTTTCCCTCAATCATTGCATTTTTTGTTGTAAACTTTTGGCATTGTATCAACGACGTATGAACCACTAAAAAAATATGCAGCCATAAAATTTAGTACCAGGTTAGACCATTCCATGATTGTTACCACCATTGCTTCTTAGATTCATATATAGGACTCAGATCTTTATTGTCATTCAATAGTATTGGTACAGCTTCAATTATTCAAATATTAATCAAAACTTTTTCTTTTTGTTTTTTCCTTTGAAGATTTGCATTTTTATTAAGGGGAAGTTTGATTGGAGGAAGAATAAATAGTGTAAAAGGAATGTAGATACTTTTTTATTTTTTGGTGTTTTGTTGGACAAAGTGTGAAGTAAAGTAAATCATAATGTATTAGAAACTCACCAATACAACTCATTTTAGGTGTGACAGAAACCCACTCAAATCAAGCGAAAAAGGAATTCACGGGCACCAGAGAGAAGCCCGTGGTAACTGTTGAAATAAAATCTAACAGTTGTGATGTGTTAAGAAGAGAATGAGGCAAACAAAGGGAATATTCAACTTTGAAACTGTTTAAAAAAAAAAATTTATTAGTGCCTCTCATTTCTTTCACGCGTGATAAATAATGTAACGAGTAATGAAGTGGTAGACGTTCTCATAATCAGCTATGTCTATATATGGTGAACAAGCTTGTTATTCACTGCTAGATGAATTTAACTATGAAAGGCCATAGTGCCAATCCAAAAAAAAAAAGGAAAAAAAAAAAAAGAAGAAGCAAGGATTTTGGCTGTTATATGAGGTCTACTACCATATATACATATGCCTCATTTGAGTAAATTCGTAATTCATTATTATTCAGTAGAAGTTTAGGTGAAAGTAAGATACTACATGGCAATTTTCTTTCAGCAGAAGATTTGTAAGCCTCTTCAGGGTCCTTAAAGATGTCAAGTTTGAAATTCATAATATATATGAATTGTGCTCGTCGCAACACTTATGCTCAAGAATTGGACGATAACAGTGGTTATCCATAAAGATCCAAATGTCTTTAAGGCATTAGGACAAATACTATGCATGCACAACAAGGTGCCCTATATAGTCAAGATGCAGCCATGAATTTATTTACATTTTATAACGGCAACTGTAAATTCAAGCAAATTTGGATATCAATGCAAATAAATTTGTAATTACAAGAATAGATTTAAGCTTTAAGCAGCAGTTTTTTTATATATAACAATGAAAGTTCAAGCTGCAATTCATACATGCGATGACAATAGTTTATACAAACAATTTAGATATAAACAATTGGGATAATTCCATTTGGACTCAAATAAGTTGGAGTCAATATTTCGATTTGCTGAATTTTGCTGGAAAGACAATTAATTATATAGTTTGAACTGCATGAAAGCAAATCGATCAGTGTCGTCCCTTGACGAATTGAACGTGGCCGTGCTATGATAATGGATATTATAATTCATTTATCCAGACATTTGCTTCACTATTTGATTTAAACTAAATTAGATAAGCAAAGAAGAAGAAAAAAAAAAGATAACTGAAGCACGTCGTCTTACCCACGTCGTCGAAGTGGCCCTCTTTCGTGGGAACAACTGCTGCTTCAATACATAAAAAGAACAAAACAACTGAGGGCTGGGACACACGCTTTTGGGGAGACGCTAACCGGTTCCAATTTCTCGGCTTCTTCGGCCCGTCTCAAACAAGAAACAAACCAGATTGCTTTCTTTGTCTAGGAATACAAGCAACAAATCAGTGGCCTTCGACCGGACTTCTCTTGCGAATCTGAAGCCTTTCGCCGGCCTCCTTTTACCGTTCAAGATCGGAGCCTAAGCCTGGTCCGTCTCGCATATAGACGCTGCCCAACTAGGCTTTCATAAACCTTCCATCTGTCCTCAACCTCTGCAAGCAAAGCCAAACCCCACCTTCTGATCTCACCTTCGACTCCCTCAAGCGAGCGACCTCTGGTTTTCTGGCCAAAAAACAGAGCCTCTCTCTCGGTTTCTTGGAACAATGAGTAAGAAAGGGAGCTAGGTTTATAATAATAATAATAATTATATCTATTAACATCTCTATTATTATTATAATAAAAATAAACAATAAGGAGAAAGAGGCTGTAATCTTCAAATGAGCGACCTCCGATAACCAGCAATCAACAATCATTGTCAAGTGAAGCTTTTGAAGACCCAATCTTCTCATCATGACATCATTTATTCGTTTCAGTTCGGTTGAGTCGAGCCACTCCTTACCTCCCGGCGCCAAGGAGGGGACGCCGGGAGGTTGCCGAAATTTTCTTAAAAATTCAGGACTTAGCCAAAATGCAATCTTCGACAATCTCCGGCAACCAATCATCGCCATTCAAAGCTTTTGAAGGCCAAATCTGCTCGCCGTTGATTTGCTCCAGTCGAGCCGAGCCACTCCTTACCTCCCGGGGCTGGGGAGAGGATGCCCGGAGGCTGTCAAAATTTTCTACAAAATCCTGAACTTAAACTTTTTTTTTTAGAAAGTTGGAGACATTCAATTGAACATTTTTATGCCTAACTTCAATTAGTTAATTAACATTGGGACATTAATTAATCATTCATTTAATTAAAAAAAAAATCAGATCAGAAATCTAAACAATTAAATCATAATTTTATCTAAGCTTTAATTGATTGTAAATTTACTTAAGATTTTAAAACAATTAAAAATAGAGCATAACAGAATTTTAATTGATTAATTTAAATTGAGACCATTTAATTAACAAAATTTTAAATCATTAAATAATTAATTTTCAATTGATATAAGATTTATTAAAATTAAACTTTAATTAATTGGAAGCTTTGATCTAAACCGATTAAATAATTTCAAATTTACCAAACTTAACAAGGGAACTTAAATGATTAAATGCTTCACATCAAAACATTGAATGAATTAATTGAGCAAATTAACTTAACTTACTCAAATTGAATTTAACATACATCTAATTTTAAAATACACTTAAAATCTAAACTAATAAATTGAATGAACTACATTTTTAATTAAAATTCATTTTTTTATCAATTCAATTAATTAATACAATTAAATTGAATTCAAATCAAATCAAATTATATCCAAAACAATGTTCACACTAATGGACGTTGTACAACTCACACTAAAATCAACTCTTAAGAAAGTTAACCAAAACACAAAACTCAAAGAAAGTCTCCAAAATCCTAATCTAAAACCAGCCCCTGATGGATTTCGACCTCGGTCCCTGGCCAAAGTCCCAAACTCCTAGCAAAATCCCAACTCCTAGTAATGCTCCTAGCAAGCTCTAATTTCTACAACTGCATCACTTGTGATTGTAAGCTCCTGCAGTCGCAACCACTAACTACGAGCACCTGTAAGCCAATAGATTTAAAAAAAAAAAAACACAATCATAAATACAAGTTAAATGCTGAAAAAGTAAAATGCTACTACATTCAAAGCAAAGTGCTGAAAGCGGTAGAAACAAATAAATGACAATGCTAAGTAAAGCCACAAACTGCTGTAGTAGAAATAAGCTACGAGCATAAAACATGACACTAAGACTGGCATTGAGGGAGTAAAATGACTAAAGCTATATGCCCTGGCTAATCTGTATCCTATAGGTCACTTCTAACAAGAATAGTAAATCCTATAAACAATTCTTTCACTAAACATATATTTATTAAATGAAACGATATTCTTAAAATTATGTTGGCTACTTTCAGTGAAAGCCGTAAGTCCGGTCTTTAGGGGTAATAGTTAGAAAGCAACCTAACTCTAGACCCTTTAATTGGGCATCTTAGCCTATAAGGCTAAGTTGTAAAACCCATCATTTGGGCTACTTCTACGTGAAGCAGTAAGACCCACATTTTAGGAAACTTCTAAACAAATGACACTATAACTAAAACTCAAATCCCTTATGGGCATCTTAGCCTATATGACTAAGTTGTAAGACCCTCCATTTGAGCTACTTATACGTGAAACAGTAAGACCCGCGTTTTAGGAAACTTCTAAACGAATGACCCTATAACCAAAACTCAAATCCCTTTTGGGCATCTTAGCCTATATGACTAAGTTGTAAGACCCACCATTTGGGCTACTTCTATGTAAAGCAGTAAGACCCGCGTGTTAGGAAACTTCTAAACGAATGACCCTATAACCAAAACTCAAATCTCTTTTGGCATCTTAGCCTATATAACTAAGTTGTAAGACCCGTCATTTGGGCTACTTCTACGTGAAGCAGTAAGACCCGCGTGTTAGGGACTTCTAAACGAATGACACTATAACCAAAACTCAAATCCCTTTTGGGCATCTTAGCGTATATGACTAGGTTGTAAGACCCGCCATTTGGGCTACTTCTACGTGAAGTTGTAAGACCCGCGTGTTAGGGAACTTCTAAACGAACGACCCTATAACTAAAACTCAAATCCCTTTTGGGCATCTTAGCCTATATGACTAAGTTGTAAGACCCGCCATTTGGGCTACTTCTATGTAAAACAGTAAGTCCCGTGTGTTAGGGAACTTCTAGAAAAACTACCCTATAACTAAAACTCAAACCCCTTATGGGCATCTTAGTCTATAAAACTAATCTATAAGACCCGCCACTTTGGCTACTTCTAAGCAAAGCAGTAAGACCCGCGTGCTAGGGAACTTCTAAATGAACAAACCTACAATAGAAACTCAAATCCATTCGGGCATCCTAATCTATAAGGGCTAGGTTGTAAGACCCACCCTACGGGCCACTTAGCTTATAGAGCTAGGTCATAAGACTCCCCATTAGGCAACTTTTAAGGAAGTCATAAGACCTACCCAATAAAAATTCTTCGGGCAACTCCTAATTGGAGCCGTAAGCCCCAAACTAAATAAATTAACAGGCAACTTCTAATAGAAGCCACAAGACCCACTCATATCCAAATTCTTTGGGCTACCTTTAAAAGAGGTTGTAAGTCCCACTATCAAGGTAACTCCTAATTGGAGCTGTAAGCCCCAAATTAAACAAATTAACGGACAACTTCTAAGGAAGTCATAAGCCCCAGCCCAAACTAAACTTAACTAAACTAAAATTCACAAATTGTCACTTCAGTATACTTGGGATCCCTGAGAGGAGGCAACCCATGGTTGCTAATCAGATTCCCTGGACACTACAATCAATGATTGTTAGTGTTGGTAGACAAAAACCATGGTATACCCGGGATGACGGAACCATGGGATCTTGATTGGGTGTACATTCATCCCCCATAACTAAATTTAAATCTTTGTTGCACATTCTCACACTTCTTGGACGAAGCTAAGTATATTTCATCCTTAATCGAGAGTTCTCCTTTAATACGTTAGGAGGGGTAATTAACTATGAGGGCTTGCGCTCATAGGAAGTAGAACTCAAATTTAAATAAATTTGATACTACTCTCAGGGGAAATCTGATTAAATAGGAAACTCAATCTACCTCCAGAAAAATTAAAGGGAATCCTAAGTTCGTGAGAGTGGGGTTCGCATTTCTTAGTTAATTTAAAAAGATAATTTTTCTGGAGCGAACAGTAACCCCTGTCTGTTTCTTCCTACATTGAGACACTACATGACAACAAATGACCGTCCATGCTTCTTATCATTTTGAGCCCTCCAAATTTGATATGCTGCATGATAATAAATTCGACCCATAATCGGATTAACTTTTGTATTTTGCTGAAGAGATTGAATTTGAATAAGGGAAACAGAATTGTTAGCTTGTTGTAACTGATTTCTTGAATAAGCATTTTACAAGTAGTAGAAATATGATCAACATTTTCATGTGTCTGACAAGCCGAAGTGCAGGTAGGCGAAACATCTTTTGGGACATCATTCTTATTTCTTTTTAAAACATTTTTTTGTACAAAAAAATTTAATTTAAGAATTTTTTTTTACTAAAAAAACTTGATTTAGAAAGTAGTAAGAAAGATGTCTCAAATAAAACATTAACCCCCGACAATACAATCAAAAGTTTTTATGAAGACTTTAGCTTAACGATAGCAACACCATTAGTTAAAATGAAATTTCTAAAAAGAAAAAATCCTTATGTAAACTCTAATCCCTTGGTTAAGAAGAATGATTTGGCTCATGGTTATCGTAACTCTTGCTTTGTTCGGGATCGCTTTCTATTACAAAAATCTTTTGAACTACAAAACTTTTGTGCTAAAAAATTACTTTAGAAAGCAGTAAGAAAATTTTTCCGAGAAAAGTCTCCTGTAAAATGGAGAGATGAAACCAAATTTCATAATTATAACTGGTGCACGGCTCTTTTTTATTCAATGTGTAAGCTTGGATGAATTCGGATTGAATTCTGAGAAGTGATCTTTTATTAGTTGAGGATTTCACTACTTCAAGAGAGCAAAGATTCATAGCAATGTCCTTAATAGGCACTGGGTTTAAGGTTTACGGTGATAAAAAATGGTTCTGAAATCACTTCAAAATCGAATCCTCTGCTGTCAAATTTTTTATAATTATAATTAATAGATAATTAAAAGGTCTTAATTGTTTCTTAGAAACTTACATTATACTTACTGTAATGGTGCAAAAGGAGAATGACTTTGACCAACACAAACGCTAGCGTTGTTGTAACAATAGCAAAGATTGTCAACGACCTCTAACCCACTACGAACAAAAATTTGCTAATGCTTACTTAACAGGCCCGTCAACGGCCCAAAATATAGGTTCATGAAATGATGTGAAAGCCTGTTTAGTTTTCCACGACCTGAAGTTTCAATCCGATTCCATATTCCACAGCGCACAAAAAAGGCCCGCAAGTAAGATTTATCATTCTATGTATAGTCGGGATGGCGTCCGGAGACCAATAAAAATGCCTACGTCATTCTAAAAATATACCGCATTTGGTATCATGCTCGGTACCGCGCTCGATAGCGGTACCAAGCTTAGTACCTAAACGTAATCGTACAGGAGAACCGGCTGGTGTCCGCACAGAATAATAGCTCCGCATGTAGAGCCCTTTTTACGGACTCGCAATTGATATGATCACATATAATATTTTATTAGAAATACGCTGATGTTGAAA